GGGGGAGGGGGAAGGGTTTGTTTGGAATATAGTAAATATACCCAAGTGAGGGCTATACTTCTCCAAAACTCAACATGTTAGATAAATTATTGATAAAATTAGATAAATTGAAATCTTAAACAACCTATCTTGCTGCATCCTTGCCAATTTGGATATTTGAGTAACCATGGTACCCCGCTTCCCCCTCCCCCCTGGCTCAGCCCTCCCCGACACTCACAGTGACCCCTTGAAGTGTGAATTGTGTAATCCTTCAGTTTTGAGGGGTGAGTCCTTAGAGAGGGTAATGTGAAAGACGACAGCGTAATAGCGTATCCATCTGAGGCCTACTTACATGAGGCCTGCCTTGGACGTATCTGACTGTAATTACGTCCAATATTTCGTGAGAAAATCCAAGGGCTAGGTCCAACATATTGATAAAAAAAAAACAAAATTGAAAATGAGAATTCAGTCATTTATATTATTAAAATGTTTATTTTAGTTATTTGAATATTGAACTCCAATTAGAAAATGAATCTAAGTCCGAACTAATGGATTAAAAATTAAAAATTTAACATTTAAAACTCAAATATGAATGGAATTGATTAGCTATATATATATCGTCACAAATATCAAAAGCATGTGTGCTGACGTCTACTACCGTCTTCACCCAAATAGAACGCCTGATCATAACCATTGTACCTAGTCGGAAAGTTGGACCAAATACCAGGCATTCTATTCAGGGGATAGAGCGCCTGATCATTACCATTGTATCTAGTCGGAACGTTGGCCCAAATGCCAGGCATTCTATTCAGGTGAAGACAGTAACCTAGACAACATGATGTGCCGTTCTGGACAAACCAATGCTGGGCTACACTGCGTTGGAATGCCATGAACCTGGTCATCCTTTGCTCCAGATTCATACGTCGTCTTTGCCGGTGAATTTTCACAAAAATTACAAGCCGCAATGGCAGTCTAATAGAGTCTAATTCTGTCGTAACACGTATTTGTCCACAGGTGTGTGTGACCGATGACCTACGGTTTTACTGTCACACTACTGCAAACCTTATAAACCTCAAAAAAAAAAAAAAAAACTTATAAACCTTTAACCCATATGGATAAGGTGTGGATAAGGCTTGGATAAGGTTTGGATCATGAAGGTCTGCGCGCATCAGGGCATACTCACAGTCATGGTTTTTTTTAACCCCGCTCTGGACAGAATTGCATCCAAATACATCCAGAGCCGGCCGTGATGGCAGTCAGTCGCATGACCAAATCTCCTGGTGTGAAAATCACCTCAGTCTAGCACTGTGCTCCAAAAAAACCTTATCCGCAAGAAGAAGGTTTGTAGTTCTTTGTACTACTTGATTAGTTCCTAGTACTTTTTTTTTTTTTTTTTTCGTAGTACTTTCTAGCGCAGTGAGTACTATGTGTGTTCTGTCCGTCGGTACTGTTAAGACCAACTGTGAAGTTGGGAAGTGGTTCAGCGATTCCTGGCAATCTGTTACGAATCCCATGTCAAGAAGGCATCCCTTTTTCGATTTGTCTTGATGCCACAAAAAGGACTACGCGAAGGAATACACCATGACTCGTCCATCGTCTCCCGCAGCAACAAGACGTGTATCTGTCGTGCCGATACAGCGAACTGCTCCGTTGGCGGTCGCACCCAGTCCGTACAGCATGCAACCTGCACTGACGTCATGGACGATCAGATTGCCGTCACCGGCTCCGGAGAAAGCTAATCCATTGCGAGTGTGTAGCGAATAGATGAAGTCGCGGTGCTCTCCAAAGCTGTGGAGAGTTTTGAAACTAGCCCGAGGTTCCAACACCTTGACCTTTCTGTCAGCCCCCGCCGTAACCAAAAGTGGTCCCGCTGCGGTCTTACTAACCGCCATGCAGGAAATTGCTCCTGTTCCCGTCGGAGTCCTGTCAGCAGTCCAAAAAAAAAAAAAAAAAAAAAAAAAAAGAGGTCCTGTCAGCAGCAGCAAGGCAACATACACACGAATTCGAATAAGCTGAGTTTTTCTTATTAAAAAAAAATAATAATAATAATTTAAAAAAAAAAAAAAAAAAAAAAAACATAACAAAGGAAATGCCAGTCATGCGCACATTATGCCGTGCACCAATGTGTTTAATTCACTTTAATATTGACTTCTTTTAACTTGTTTTAGGCTTTTCGTTACATGTGTCAGAGACGTCGTGTGCGCATGTGACCAGCTGCTGATAAGAAACACTGACGCTGAAGATACTAAGTTCTAGACTGGGAATAAACCACAGTTTAGCCTATTCCCGAACTCTTTAGGAGGCCGGGCCCGACAACGGCTGCCGTTGATCAATCTGATCGGTGGCCGTCGTTTCGTTTCATCCTCCTCCTGAAAGGTCGGGGGCCCATGGAGGCCCACTATTTTCCGAACCGACAAAGGTACTAGTGGTTTAACGAAAAATTGTCAAGAATAAAAACTTATATATTGCGTCCTATAATCTATGTTACAAGCTATTGCTCAAATCTGTATCCCTTGGCCACATCGGAAACTGGAAGACGGCCTGTTGGCTAAAAATAGATCAAGTGCACTGTATCTGTTCTGATCAGTTTAATATCTGATCCATGGGGGACATGTTTGACCGCATACATGTTTGACTGAATACATATTTGACAGCATGCATGTTTGACGGCAGACATATTTGACTGCACATTGGCTTGACGACAGACATGTTTGGCTACGCACAAAAATTGCAGACAGCTCTGAATACAGTCAAATTGGCTTGACGGCAGACATGTTTGAATACGCACAAAAATTGCAGACAGCTCTGAATACAGACAGAAATCGTGGACATGTTCGACAACAAGAGAATTGAGATCTGTAAAACAGCCATGAATGGACTAGTCTGCAGAAGAGGGGCTTCTGTTTTGCGATCGCAGATTCAGCCATTATGGGGTCCAAGTCAAACCTGTCTGGAGTCAAACATATTTGCAGGGTCAAACATGTCTCCAATTTCTGCTGTGGCAAAGGAGATATGTGTGACCCATTTGCGGCCGCAGAGTCAGCCACTGTCTGGTCAAACATATCTGCAGTCAAACTTATCAGCGGTCAAACATACCGCACGATTCTGCAGTCAAACATATCAGCTGTGGCAAAGGAGATATGTGTGACCCATATCTGCAGTCAAACGTATCAGCGGTCAAACATATCTCATGCAGTCAAACGTATCTGCAGTCAAACGTATCAGCAGTCAAGCATGTCCGCAGTGAAACATGTCTCCAATTTCTGTTGTGCCCAAGGAGAGACATGTTTGACCCCTTCCTTTGCCATTGCAGAGTCGGCAATTGTCCAGTCAAACATATCTGCAGTCAAACCTATGTGGCATCAAACTCATCTGCGGTCAAACATGTCCACGTTCAAAGATGTATGTGGTCAAACATGTGTCCAATGTCTGCCGTGCCCAAGGGGACACGTTTGACCTGGAGAATCTGCCATTGTGGCAGGCACATGGATCGTCAGACACGTCGGCTCCTCGGCATCCATATGCCTGCATGCTCCCGCTAGACCTGTCCGTGCGGCAGCCATGCGGACGATAGCATGTTAAACAGCAACAACGTACAGATGAGACAGCAGAACATGTCTCCGATTTATGCCGTGACCAAGGCAACATGTTTGACCCGGAGATTCCGCCATTGTGGCAGCCGCGTGGACAGGTGCCCGTTAGACAAGTCTGCTCCCGGCATCGACATGCCCGCATGCTCCTGCCAGACCCGTCCACGTGGCAGCCCACAAGTTAACGCGGACCCCCACTTTCAGGTCCTTGGTTAATGGGTTCAAAACTGAAATTAGGGTTTGGGTCCTTTGGGGCTCAAATTTTATGGGGCTTTTTTATCGCCCTTTTTTTGCTTTGCTTCAATGCTCTCCGTTCTATCAATTGGTGGCAAGTCTGGTTACAATGGCCCTTGGGGTTTTGTCAGTCTTCTCTCTGGCAGCCATGTGGACGATAGATTTTTTTTTTTTTTTTTTTTTTTTTTTTTGACGATAGCATGTTAAACTGCAACAATGTACAGATGAGACAGCAGAGAGACTGGGGCCTGTAAAGCAGCAGGCAGAGATGGTCAAAGAGTGGGGAAGCACAGACTAAGATTTTGAACGTGGTCGTCGATGCAGGTCAAGTTCATGGCCGGAGTCTTCGATACAAAAAATCTAGCACACAATCATAGCCTACTGTGGCCCCTAATCTCAAAGAGACAATAGACATGCATGCACAGGGTCTCCACACGGCTGCAACCTACAAAACAGCCATAGACATAGGCAACAGACGGAGACTACAAACCATACTTGCAACCGCACGAGCCGCACATTCGTGCGGAGTTCCGTGTGGAGTTCCGTGAGGGAGGTGCCTGTGCGGAATCGTGAAGGTTTTTTCTTTTTATTATTATTATTTTCTCTTTTTTTTGGGAGGGGGGACGGGGGGGCGTATGACAGGAAGATGGGGATATGGAGAGGGGCGGGGGATATGGAGAGGAGGAGGAGGAGGATGTGGAGGAGGACGACGACAAGGATAGCAAGGACAACGAAGAGGAGTCGTTGAGATGGGGGAGGAGAAGAGATGGACGGAGGGAAAAGAGGAAGGGCAGGAGGAGGAGGACGAGTGGGAGGAGGAGGAGACATAGAGCGAGGAAGGGGGGGACACGAGGAAGGGAAGGAGACGAGGAGGCATGGAAGACGAGGAAGTACGAGGAGGAGGAGGAGAGAAGGAGGATGAGGAGGACAAACAGGAGGAGAACGAATCGGAGGAGACGAAAAGGAGAAGGGAGGAGGAGACATGGAGAATGAGGAAGGACGGGAGGAGCAAGGTGAGGCAGCACTCCTGTAATTTTGTTTTTCATCCCGCTTATAATTTTGGAGGGGGGCCTCAAACGCACTGTTTCGACCCCGGCCTTCTCTCTTTTTGTTCTGACGGGGGTGACAGGTTGTTCCCCGCACACGTCGTGCGCTGCACGGGATCAGTTGGGCGCTTGCGCCACACGTCGGGAACTGCCCCCACGACATGTGCTTGCAAGTATGCTACAAACACGTACAATATTTGTATTCATAGCAACCCTTTTATCTCACCACCTTCGGTGGGAAGATGAGCTCACATTTTTTTTCCGTTTCGTGACTTGTGTTTAAAAAAAAAAAGAAAAAAAAAAAAAGTGTAGTTTCTGTTCCGGTTGATCGATCGGTGTACTAATATCTGATTTGTGATCCATCGGACCCAAAAAAGGGCAAAAAAAAAAGGGAACTAACCGGCGTAAAGATGGGAATACCCGCTATACCCAGTCGAGTGCCCAACTTGCGTCTATACCCAGAAGACTCTGTCCAGCTTAAGGAAATGCCCTACTTTTCCTGTGTGCCAACTTATACTCGTACCCAGTCCCACAGGTCCTTGGTTGGGGAGCACAAAATTATGCTTATGCCCAGGAACCGGGCAGGCAGAAGGCAAAATTGGGTATGCACATAATTTGCCCATGTATGTGCATAATTAGCATTCTGGTAGTTGGGTATAACTGCAATTTGGCGGTACCAACCTTGGCCTTCCTCCGTCCTGGGTATACAAATAATTTGCACAGAATCTTCTGAGCACTGATGCAAGTTGGACACCGGGGCTGGGTATACCTGGTATTCCCATCTTTAAATGGGGTACAGAATCTACAGAGGCAATTTTTCCAAAAAAAAAAAAGAAAAAAAAAAACATCGTACGGAATCGTACCTGTGAATTGGCACTTCATTAACACACAGCTTCTCACGAATATCCCAGACACGCAGCATGCCATCCTGTCCTCCAGAGATAAAGACACAGGGAAGCCTTCCGGAGCCATCACCGTCCTCCTCTTGGGAAGTATCCGTTTCTCCTGGTCCCACTGCTGCCTTGGGTTTCTCCTCGACCCAAAGCAAGGATGTCAAATGACCTTTATGGGCTCCTGTTATGTTCCAGATCGCCGACCCTTTTGCTCCGTCCCAAATGACGAGCGAGCCGTCTCTAGACCCACTTGCCATCTCTCCGCCTTTGCCCCAGGAGAAGACGAGAACCGGAGAAGAATGACCACAGAGGCAGGCGACCTCCCTCGTTCGGGTGCCGCGGAAACCTTGCCGCACATCCCACACTCGAAGGGTGGTATCGTAAGAGGCGCTCACTGCAGCATTGCCGTCCGAGCTGGAGCAGACGACAGAAACAGATCCGGTGTGGCCGCAGAGGTCCAGACATCGAACCCCACTCTTATCCCATAAGCAGAGCTTGTTGTCCATTCCACCGCTCATGAGCCGACCATCTGGCAAATACGCCAGGCAAGTGACCCATTCTGCATGCCCAAACGATCGGGAGTAAAGAGTCCGACCTTGCTCGGGCTGGGGCAAAGACTCCAAACTGACGGTGTAAATTGCGTGGTCAGACGACCCAACGGCAACCTCCCGCCCATGCATGGCCATACACAACAGAGGTTGTTCTGACACCTGTAACAAACTTCCCGTGGGATCCACCGGACCTTCCCTCCACTGCCGCCATAGCCCAGTTCTCCTAGCCGCACTACGGTCGAAGGGCTCCGAGCCAGAGAACGAATTGCTGCTGCTACTCGATACCGCCCCGAACGGCCCTTGAGTTAGACTCTTGCCAACCCGTGGATCGACCATGCTGCGTGACGCTTCCCTCGCCATCTTTTCCAGCGAAAGCCTTTTTTGCGTTGCGCTTGGCTGCATCTTCTTCCCAACTACAGTCCCATCGATGTTCCGGCTACTTCTGTCGTCCTGACGACCCTTAGCGTTTGCTGTCCCTTTGCCTGCAATTCCCAGCATGCTGCCCTGCTGATGCTGACCCGTCAGAGCGTCTCTGCTCTCTGACAGGGAGCAGGCCGTAATGCTGTTCGCTCGGTTTAGCTCAACATCATTACCCCTCAGGCTGGTATTACTAGTTCGGCTACCGATTCTGTCATTATCCTTGGTCTCTGTCTCTGATCCAGAACCCTTGCGTTTGCCTTCATCCCGCGCACCTTGTGTGGCCCTTGGCTGCTGTGCAGCACCGCTGCTGGCGTCAGTGCTGTTTGGCAGGGACTTCCTGGATGGGATGGGATGCGACAAGGGATATCATGTTGATGGTTCATCAGAATCAAAATCGATAAATATAAATACCTGTTTTTAATTTATCTCAAGCTATATGTAAGTAGATCTTGTAGATGCTGTTTGATGTTGGGGTTAAGGATATAACAATACAACTGTAATGACCTGCAAAAACACAGCCTGAGAGCCATTCTGATTTCTGAGTTTTGCCCCGCTGGAATGTGTGCCTTGCCGAGATTCCAGCTTTCTGCTGAGATTTCTAAGCCTGTGTGTGTGCATGCTTGCTGGTTTCTGCCCGTATGCCGGTCTGAGTGCATGTCTGCCTGAGTGTGTGTGTGACCCACCAAGGTACTGGTTTGTTTGGGACGCCCTCGTGGCCGTTACTTACCTGTGACTGCAGTGACTTTGAGGGCTGCGGCGGGGCAACACTCGAGTACCATATGCTACCTTCTTCCCCCGAACATAACGCATATGTGTTGTATTCGAGTTTTCAAATTTGAAAAAAAAAAATGAAAAGAGCACATTATGCGTTGTATTTTAAATTTAGGGCTATTCGAATAGAACGGAGACGTGTTGTATTCGAATAGAACGCACCCTACACGTCGTATTCGTTTACAACGCTTATGCGTTATGTTCGGGGGAAGAAGGTAGCACTCGAGTAATGGCAGCGTAGAAAGCGTAACTTAGGGTTTAGGGTTTAGTAGCGGTAGGCCGGGCAGAAGAAGAGAAAAAAGTTTGTACCTTTGGAGGCCATGTGAATCTTAGGAGTCCGGAAGGCCTAGGTCTGGGGTACCAGTCCAGAAGTCTAGGGCCTGTAGCGGACGATATCAGACCTGCAATGATGTTCCCCTCTGGAAGGAGGATGGTACCGGTTGCTTGGGAGGCAGCGCGGCCTGGAAGTCACCACCCAAGAGGCAAGTTGCCTGCTATATCTCCAGGAAGAGCCACTTGCTCTTCCTCATTTGTGGCGTGCAAGTTAGGGCGTCACGCTGCTGGAGCGCCTGGTGGCAGAGCGCTGGGAGGAGCGCCTGACCTTCCACCTCAGCTATGGTGGACAGGACCAGGTAGGAGGAGGAGGAAGAAGGGGTTGAGGACGAGAGTGGCTGGAGGTACTTACCTGGCTATGGTTGATATCATCTTTATCTCCTTGGTAGGCGCTGCACCTGGAAAGCCCCAGTAGGGGTTGCGCTGCATCACGAAGGCTTCAGGGCAGAGTCAGGCATGGCGGCCTGAGTGACAGAGGACATATCTGTTTTTGCGTTGTCTTTTCAACATCAGGGCAAGGGCCCAGTAGTCCGTCATAGCCTTCACCTATCGGAGGTGATTGTAGGTGAAGGTCATGGCTATGGTGGACCTCATGTAGTGCTGGCAGTAAGAGGGAGATTTGGATATTGGTTCTGGTTCGGACACTCATTGTTGTTATTATTATTTGTAGCAGAAGCGGCAGACAAGGACATTGACGCAGCACCGGCGCTGGAAGCAAAGAGGGGTGAAACGACAAGGGTCCTCCTTCCCTTCCGTAGGAACAGGAAGGTCGGGGACTGGGAGGTGGCTGTCACAAAGGACAAATTATTTTTGAAATGGATGGTGTTATTTTGTCAAATGCTCAAGCAGCTGCTGGCAACTGCTCACTGCGAAGGTGGAGGATATCGTCCGGGATAATAGTCAAAATCCATGTCCTTCGGGACATCCGTTAAAATTGGAACGATACAGACAAGATTAGCATGGCCCCTGCGCTTTGAAGGATGACACGCATCAATCGAGAAATGGTCCAAATTTTTTGGAGTAATGAATAATAGAGACGGTTGGGGGCATTCTTCTTGGATTTACGGATGACGGAAAAAAAAATTAAAAAATTATCCATGGAACTGACGTCGCACCTTTCGCTGTGAGATCAACAGCGCAGGGGATGGAGAGATGGACAGACCAAGACGGCAGGAACTGCCTCTCTGATTACAGACCCATGATGGTACAGGCGGCGGAGTGGGCAGAAAAATTGACTGATCAGCTAGGATGGATGCCATGGGAGGTGATAGAAGCAGTCCCGTATGGGCTGCTTAGCGAGGACATGGCCCCGGAGAGAGCAGCGAAGGGAGTGGCATTGAGCACGGCCCACAGGCTGTTCCTGGGGGACAAGGTCCAATCTAGAAAGGAGATTGCAGGCCCTGCTGGAAAACGGTGATGTGGAACCAGCGCTCAAGTGCTACTAGGCAGTCAAGTGGGGCAATCTTCCAGCCCTTGGCCTACCAGCACCCTCCAGCGCACAAACCAGCAGCGCTGCCGCCAGCAAGCACACTGCCAGAGTCCCCTCTGGCTGCCGCCAGCAAGCACACTTTCCTTTATGGAAAAAAAAAGTGAGCTCTGCTTTGTTGAGCTCTGGGCCTGGCTGGACGAGTTTCCAGTAGCTTCCAGTCGGGCCCCAGTGTCTGCGCCCAGGCCCCCAGTCCCTGTAACGGGCCTGGGCCCTTTATAGTTGGGCACGCCCAGGAAGCCCACGAGGCCACAAGTGTTCGCCGTGATCTCATTGGCTCGAGCCCGTTCTGTGATGTGTCGGCCTCTGGTAGCTCATGCCCAGGGCCTCAACTGCCTCTTGAGCTGCTGCTTCCGGAATGAGCCAAGAAAAAGGCTCACGTTACTCTGTAACCAACCGGTGTGCTGCAACTGTCTGATACCCGACATGCCGAATTGACAAAAATAGGCCTCTCGTAAATATTCTGGCCCGCCTTCACTTAGGGCGGGCACGGGTCTGTACGGGGCCTCAGCCGAGATGTGGGGCGAGCCCTTTCCAACAGCCCTTTAGCATGATCACACTGGCCTGTACCAAGGCCTTGGCAAGTTGGCACATATTAGCATGCCCGCTTTCACTTAGGGCAGGCAAGGCCTTTTCCAGCACTGCTGAGGGCTCGAATCCTCGCAATATGATATGCGTGTGTGCATGTGTGTGTGTGTGTGTGTGTGTGTGTGTGTGTGTGTGTGTGTGTGTGTGGCCCACATGCAGCAGCAAGGATGAGGGTAAAAAAAAGACTAGTGATTTGCACAGGGTGTGCAGCATTCCCTCACAAGCCATAGCAAACTTCCTGTTCGGCGGGGTGGAAGGGCAGAGTTCAAAAAAAAAAAAAAAAAAAAAAAAAAAAAAGAAGAGGTCTGGTCGCTACGAGCAATCCCAACCTCCTGACATCAGAAGTTTGTTAGTGCACAGCCCACCATGTGTAAACGATTTCAGTCGAGGTGGTCCCCACCTGTGGTTGGGTCCAGTCACTTCCCGATCTCTAGAAGTCTGGTCTTAAGATCAGCAGTTATTGATTCCAGAGTGGTGGGGACCACCTATATGGCTATATATCGTCAAATAGGCCTTGCTGCAGTACTCATGAAACATAAAAAAACAGTGAGTGCACCTTTAGAAAGGAAGTGACAAAAAAAAAAAAAAAAAAAGAAAGAAAGAAAGAAAGGAAGTGACAAGATACATCTACTGTGACCCCATACATTGCGCACTACTTACCATTTTTCACTTTTTTTGAGTTTTTGTGCCTAGTCCGCCCAGTACCTGTGTATCATGCATACTCTTAACAAACAGCTGGCTTTAGGGCCTTGCCACACCACTCTCGAAATGTGAACAAAGACCAAAATGTGGCGTCGGCATCTGGCCATGTTCTAGCAGGAAGTTCATTCTCTTTTTCCACATTTCGAGAGTGGTGTGGCCATGCCCTTACTCAGCCTTTGGGACTGAACGGTACAGAGAGCTACAGACTTGCAAGCTGTTGACAAACAGATCAAAAGATAAACTCGCAATGGACACATGAAGAACGTACCGACACTAGCACTGTCCTGGATGCATCTGGCCGCACTTACGGCCGATGATCGATGCATCTGAGTGCAATTACAGCCAGTGCTGAGCTGAAAAAGATTCATTGTGAGTATCTTCTAAAATGAAAAAAAAAAGGGGCTACACCGCCCTGCTTCGGAGAACGAATCTTTGTCCGTCATCGCCTCGTTGAGTACAGCACCACTGACCAACCAGCGTACGTGGCATTGCACCAGTCCACCTCACAACCATGAGGTACAGAGAATGAATCTTTGTCCGTTTCGTTTCTTTTTTTTTTCCTTTTGACTCTTTTTTTTTTTCCGAGGAGGGTTCTGTCTTCTCATACTTGAGAGCAGAAACAAAGAAAAAATGAGCCATAGGAATGACAGGATGGAATGACACATTCCTTTCTCCGCCTTTTGCTGTCTTTGGCTAAGACAAAAATGTTGCAGTATCCGTTCAGATCAACATAGACTACCAGTACATGACTGTGATGATGACACCCTTCTTTTTTCTTTTTTTTTCTTCTTTTTTTTTTTCTTTTTTTCCTTTTCTTTTTCTTTTTTTTTTACCCAAGCCATGACACCCTTCTGGGGACTTTTTTTTTTTTTTTTTTTTTTTTTTTTTTTTTTGTATACCAGCCGGGCCACCCGGGTCACCTTGTTTGCCCGGGCGGCCCGGTCGTGCAAGGGCCAAAGAAGGTCCCAGCAAAAAAAAAAATATGTTATGCAAACAAATAAACTGAACAACTTTTGCCTCAGGGTCACATCGAAAGTCCTGATGCAATGAATTGCAGTGGCATGTGGGCTGTACACTAACTGCGTTTGATGTTGCCCGGTTTTGAGCTCTGCGGGATTCGATCCCGTGACCTGTTTTGTTTGCTGTGTTTTTTTTTTTGTGTGTGAGAGCCCAACTGGGCTTGATCCCTGGTAGGTCTGTTTGGAGTAGTCGATGTAGGCTAGCTGTAATACCACTAGGTCTCTCTGGCTTGTCCTTTCCGCCCTAGAGTGGTACGTCGTTTCTGTCCTCCCCAATTTTAGGTCTAGATTCGGTCATAGGCTATAGGCTGTGGTTCCTAGGCTGTTGGCTGTCCACTCAGGGAAAACAACAGTCTACAAAAGTGTCGAGGGCAAGGAAGAAGGGGTTATGTCTCGTCATTTTTTTTCTACGAAGTGCTGCTGGAGGTCGCGTGCTGTTTGGGTGCTGCATTATTTTCCATTTGTGGCATCATCTTCATGCTGCTAGGGCTGTCCTCCATAGCTGGGGCTTCCTGGCTCATGTTGTGACTGCGCTGGGCATCAGGCCGTGAGCGCTGTGAGGTGCCTCCTCTTACCTGTGCTGTCGGGGATAGGCAGGGTCGCCATCGAAACCCTTCTTGAAAGTGTTTGTCGAAGTGGCAGCCATCTCCTTCTTCATCAAGCGATGGTCCTCTTCTTCTTCGTCCTGGGAACTACCCTGCCCTGTTGAGCGGACACTTCATCTTCAGTGGGCATGGAGTCTGGACTGCTGAGTGGCATGTCGGGTTCAGGAGGGTTGGTGGCGCTTGATGGACTTGATAGGTTGGGCGCAAGCCGACGCCATAGCTGTGAGCTTGAGGTTGGGAGGAAGAAGAAGTCTCCCTTGCTTGTTGAAACTCTCTTCTTAGTTGATTCGCGGATGTTAATAACGTGGAATCGTGGTTGGAATCCTTGGAAATAACAGTGCATTCATTGGCTGGAGGGCGTGGGATATTAATGAGAATTGAGTAATTTCAATTCTATTTTTGGTTTAAGTGCTTCCACTGTGTATTCTCTCATCCGGTTTGGTGTGAATTGCTCTCTCCAAGATCTCTTGTCGGTGCGCATGTGTATGGGAACATGAGGATGCCATGCTGTATCTCTTTTTTTTTTTTTATCTATATAATATATATTTAAAAAAAAAAAAAAGAGATACAGCATTTCAATCAGGCACATAACACTTACCAAATTTAAAATAAAAATTAAAGTTAAAAATATTATTTTTATTTTTAATTTGCCCGGCCAGGCATGTGGTCCCTGGCCACTCTGGTAGCCTCATTAAGCAGCCTTTTTTTTTCTCTTTTTTTCCCCCCCAAGCTTAAGTAGCCCAACCCAATTCGATCTTCTGTCAAATCTGACAGGACAGCCTTCAGAGGCCTTTTGTTATCATCATAAAGGATTACGGGGAGCCCTGCACCCATGTTCACGAGAGAACAAGCAGAAGCTGCACCCGACCGGCAGGCCACGAGTCAGCCGGGAAGCATCGACGACCATGCATTTGACTGACCAGTCAAACCTTCCCTAACATCCCGTCCCCCTATGAACCCCAGCAACATCTGCTTAGTGCCTATCGGGGGGGGCAACGCGCTACCTCTCGATGGACGGCGCCAAGTATGCCAAGGTAGGTACGTGAGGCCGATGGGGATTGAACCCATGACCTCCTGAATGCCACTTGTGTGCCTTACCAACTGAGATAGGTCGCTGACTCCACCCCTTCCCTTTTCTTTTTTCTTTTTTCTTTTTTCGCCGACTCCTGACATTCTTTTTCATCATGAACAAATATAATAATTTAGCAAGGCAGTCCTTCCGGACATCCGCTAAAATTGGAAGGATACAGCATGGCCCCTGCGCAAGGATGACACACATAAATCAAGAAATGGTCCAAATTAAAGACGAAGAAAAAAAAAAAAAAAAAAAACAAGGAAAAGTCAGGCGCCAGCAGGCCCGGGGTGTTACCCAGCACATCTTGCTCGCGTACTGATCGTTCGATCATGAATCAAGATCTATCATCCATCAGGCCACTCTCCACTTGTAAAAAAAATACATGAGAAAAAAGGAAAAAAAAGAGAGAAAAAGAGAAGGAAGAAGGAGAGGAGAGGGGGGGGGTGGAAGAGAAAGGAAAAAAAGGAAAAAAACTTTTAAAAAAGTGGAAAAAAAAACACTTTAAAAAGAGGGTAGAACTTTAGAAGGCGAAAAACAAAAGAATAAAACTTCATTCAGATGAATAGAATAACACAGCGAAGAGCGCATGAACACAAAGTAGGAGATCTTGAGAACCTGTCTGTTAAAAAAAAAAAAAAAAAAAAAAAAAAAAAAAACTGTCTGTCATTATGTCAGTAAGTGTCAGCATCAGTATCAGATTGGGATTGGGATACCTGCTGTCTGAATTGGTGTTTCCAATCCTGAGAGCATTCATTGCCTCCTCGAAGCGCTCCATATAAAATTGATTCATTTCATGCGATCGCGCCGCACTGTAAATATAGAACCCAACTCAATACAATGCAATTCACCACAGGTAGGATTGGAGATCAGCTGACCATAGAATTGCCCAGGAAACAAAAAAAAAAAAAAAAAAAAAAAAAAAAAAAAAAAAAAAAACAAACAAACAAACAAACATGACGGACAAAAAAAAAAAAAAAGAACTTGGGTTGACAAGTAAGTAATTCAGAAAAAGAAAATTTCCGCAGACGGCACAAGAAATTTTTGAAGAGGAGACTCTGCTCCTCGGCATTATTATGCACAATCATGACTATTTCTTCGATTTTTCGATTCTTCTTCAATCCTCCGATTCTTCTCCGATTCGTTGATTCTTGTTTTACCCCTCCTTTGCCACATAACTCTTCTTCTTCTGCTGCTGCTGCTGCTGCTGCTGCTGCTTCTCCTCCTCCTCCTCCTCCTCCTCCTCTGCTGACCCCATGGCTGTACTGTGGCGAAGAGGCTTTCATCCACTAAACAGAAACTTCTTGACGATGTCTTCAAAAAGGAAAGAAAAAAGGTTCTGGTACTTTAGCCTTTTCAGGACAGTTTCTCTCTCTAGCATGTACATTTACAAGTGCAAGCAAAAAAGAAAAAAGTTCAAAAAACAGTTTCGGGAAGAAACGTATTCGTCAACACCTTATCTGTTGTGGCCAATGTATTTTGCTAGGTTGTGGGATAGGTCCGGCGCCGGTACTGTTTTAGTATCAGCGGCCAACGTAGATATAAAAGAGAGTTTTGGGAGGTCGAACTCCTCTTAGCCTGAGCAGCAGGACAGAAGAGCTGAGCGCTGATGGTGTTTTCATCAGCGATATCGGGTGTTGTTTGCTGTGATAAGTAAAGTCCATGACACCTGATTTGTATTATCCTTTTATGTGGAGCATGTACATTCGCATAATGGTGACTCTTTACGGAATTGCTCGCACAAGGACTCTTATTGAAGTATCTGACAGTAACCAAGACCAGGTTCACCCAAGCAGATCCTGGCCTGAGTACGCCCTCTCTCTCTCTCTCTCTCTCTCTCTCTCTCTCTCTCTCTCTCTCTCTCTCTCTCTCTCTCTCTCTNCTCTCTCTCTCTCTCTCTCTCTCTCTCTCTCTCTCTCTCTCTCTCTCTCTCTCTCTCTCTCTCTCTCTCTCTGTGTGTGTGTGTGTGAGCACTTCCAAATAACATGCATACGAGACACTCCTGCAAGGATTTCAAAATCAATGCTTGTCAACGAGCTGAACACCCTGAAAGGGCTGTCGCGGGGTCGCTAGGAAGGGCGCAAGCGCAGTGCGCCATAAGACCGCCGGTCCGGTGGAGCCCAGCTGGAGCCCCAGCAATCCACACAGAGACGGAATCTCCATCCATCGGCCTTCCTCCGCACAACTCAATGCACAGTCAGTGGGAAAAATGTCAGATGTGTACAGACTCTACAGAGGCGTTGCACGAACTCGCGGTACAAGGCAGATGGACGAGCGGGCACGTGGCTCTCAAACATGCAAACAGGGCCAACGTTGCACTCATTTTAATGCTGTCTTCATTTGGAAGGAGTTAAATGGAGTTGGAAGGAGTTGGCTAATGATGTCTTGGTTATTCTTTTTCGACACACACCCAGACGCAGACAGACACACACAGCAGCAGCACACAGACACACACACACACACACACACACACACACACACACACACACACACACCAGCAGCACACAGCAGCACACACACCCACACAGCAGCACACAAGCACACATGCACACCTGCTGATAAGTCGGTGAAAGTCTGACAGAACGTTCTGGCACACTCATGCTTCTTGAACCGCCAGTACTTGGGGCCAGCTATCGGCTGTGGAAAAAAATAGGGTAGAAACTTCTAGAAAGTACTAGATTGGGCTCTCCTGTAAGTGGCCGTACATTTCCTAACGTTTCTAGTCGGATGAATATGGGATCTCCTGTAGTGGCCCATACATTTCCTAAAATCGTGGCGCTTTAACGGGCGCGACTTTAGGAAGTACTGGTGGTTTGACACCACAACCTCGTGATGGGTCGGTGAAGGTGCCACGAACAGTCTGGCACAGTCGTGTTTTCTTTGTGGAGTTCTGTATAGTGAACACTGAACATGACAACACTCAAAGGAAAAAAGGGAAAAAGGAAAAAAGGGAGAAACCCAAGAGCCTAGCTCAGTGGGGACCACACCCATGAACTGTTGAAATACAGACCTGTGTTTGAATCCAGATGATGAAACTTGATGAGTACAAAGTTACAAACCAACTACTAATTAATTGCTTGGGGCCGGTCAGCTCAATGATAATATCTCAAGGCCGTTGCCCTTTTAAAAAAAAAAAAAAAAAAGGGAGAAAAAAGGGAAAAAAGGGAAAAAAAGGGAAAAAGGAAAAAAGGGAGAAAAAAAAAACAAAAAACAGACAGAAAAACAAAACAAAAGACACACAAAAAAAACACTACAGATGATGAAGGGATAGAAAAAGGGAGAAAAGGAGGGATCAGTCCGTTATCTGTCTCTTATACACATCTAGATGTGTATAAGAGACAGCACACACACACACACAAGAAAAAGAACACAAACCACACACATAGATGTGCCCTTCACAGGTGAGTGCTCTTTCTGCCAATGGGGCAGGGAACTCCTGTGGACAGTCTCAGTATTTCATACTAGGGTCTCCGTGGGACACACTCAGAAAGCATTCCACTTTCAATTACTCGTGGGACTCGGCCCTATCATACCCCTGTTCCAATGACCACCATGTTATGTAGAGTCCATGGGCTGTGCTTTTCGAAGCACCTGGACTGTGTTAACCAAGGTGCTTCAAGTAGGGATGCACCTGGTCTGTGGGTTGTGCTTTTCGAAACACCTGGACTGTGTAACCAATGTGCCGCGTGTCGCACGAGGGCTTCACGTCACAGAAAGGCTGGATGGAGCCCATGTGGGTAGACACAGAGGATTTGAAGTGCGGACCTCTGTTGTCCTTCCCACAAACTGTGACTGTCGGAGTGCATCCTTTGTCGGTCATGTCTCTTTCACAGAGGGTATGTTTGACCGTCTAAAAATGGATGTACCTTGCCACCTTCTATGTGAAGATGCACTCACATGTTCATCCTTTAGGGAGTACTGCCCCGGGACCCTTAATCTGTTCTCTGGCAGGATCTCTTCAGCTGAAGTACTCAGCGCTGGCACGGCAGCCAGGATCCGATGGAGAGGGGGGGAGAGGGGAGAGGGGAGCGGGAGGGGGAGGGGGAGGGGGGATTATGCCCCGCCCATGGAGTCATTGGTATTCCCATCGTATAACATAAAACACCCCTACCTTTTCCAGTCAAAGAACATAACATGGGGCTTGCATGCAGCTGCAACTTTCGGGGCTCGGCCTCCAGAGCAAAATGGCTGGCAGTGCCAGCCAAAAGGAGGCCCATGCTGCTTCGTTTTTTACTTCGGCGTTTTTTTTTTTTTTTTCGACGCGCAGGGCGTTTCCAGCCCCAGAGAAAAGAAAGTGGGAAGATGCATGGTTTACTATATCTATAAGGTTCTTCTTAGCATGGTTTACTATATCTATAAGGTTCTTCTCTAAGACTTTTTATAGATGCAATTTTCATGTCAATTCGCAATGTTCTAAATTACAGTATTCATCCCCCCTGTACAAAAAAAGGAGGAGATTGGAAAAGTGAACTGAGTCTCTGCTTATTTTAGAAATTTGCCATAATTTGGACAAATGGAAGTATACCCCCCCCTCCTCCTAAAGAAGCATTTCATCAGGCATCTCACAGCGCTTTTTGAACATGCTATGTCTTCTCTTATGCATTTTGCCGCTCTCTAGTACGTTTATGGATTAGACAGTGGTGTGGCGAGGTCCCTACTCTGGAGTCTGGGCTTCTGCATGCTGTCTGAGCTGGGTTGGGGTGTGTTGGGCTACATATGTTCTTCCTCTATGATGTTTGCGAAATTTAGTTTATAGGGGGGGAGGGGGGACAGACGGGGGGGGGGGGGAGGGGAGGAGAGAATCGGTAATAGAAAACAGTTTATTTATTAAGAACATGAAAATTCAAAATTTAGTTTCATTTTTACTTTCACGTTTCAACCTTTCTCGGCCTTTTGGCTAAGATCTTTTTTCAAGTGCAATGAATCTGTTGATTCGGTTCTGATCAGTTTAATATCTGATAGGTGGTCCATCGGACCACAACGATATTAATTTTTGGGGGGGCTATGGGGAGGGGTCATATGGGTGGCCACAACGATATTAAATGATTTTTTTGGGGCTATGGAGGGTGTCATAAGGGTAAGCTTGCTTGCTCGACCCCTCCAGTGTTGCCTCTGTATTGCACTGCAGCAGAGCGCGGTGCAGCGCTTTCAAAAAAAATAATAATAATAATAAAACCATCCAGCTTTTTCAAAGATGCTGTGATGCTGTGATAGAGCACAGTAGTGTGCTGCTGTTACGTGAGGGGTCCACCTATTACTTAATGTGGAGGCTTTGCCGCTTTGTGAGGAGAGTGCAAGTGTGCTTTGGGAGACCGGTGTGTGGGCGCTCCCTGCTCGAGTGGTTGATGTCTGACTGTTTTGTTGGACTCTCACTGACTTGTCAGTCGGGAAGATGAACCATCGATGGTCTGCAGAATCCCTACCTAGGAAACTGCAGCATCCCCATATTGAAGGTTCAAGGGCATACTCGCACTGCGGGTTTGGGAACTGTATGCGACTCCAATTACAGCCGGACCTGGATGAATGTGTCCACAATCATGTCCAGAGGGTAGTAGAAAAAACGTCGTAGTGGGAGTGTGCCCTGAAAGAGGGCCTCGCCACACCACTTTCGAAACGTGAAAAAGACAAAAGTGTGACAGGTGCATCTGGCCATGTTCTAGCGGCAAGTTCATACTCATTTTGCGCATTTCGAGAGTGGTGTGGCGATGCCCTAACAGAGTCTACTTCGATCCCTGTTGCTAGAGAACAGCCAGGCTGGTGGCAACACAAGCAGAGGGGCAAAGCAGGCAGCAGCAAAGCACATGGTGGCCAG